CGCAATTAGCAATTCGGGGAATTCCAATAAAAATATCTATTCCATTTACTTCTCAAAATATAAATAATATAATTAAATAAATTTCAATGTATTGTTTAAATTATTTCGGGCAATTGACAGAAAAATTCAATTCCACAACCCTACTTGCCTTATAATACAGGGGCTGCTTTTCGGTAGAATCAAAGGACTTCAACTACCGAATGAATGACATTTCTTAAGAGTAGAGTTTATTAACCTTCTTTTCAGTTATACTGTTGCAATGCAAATTAGTTATGTTATCATTTCATATCCAAAAAATCTATTAGTCTAGAAAAGTCTGCAATTTTACTTGTGCAATGAGGCAGTTCACCAGGATGTATGAATTTTAAGAACAAAAAAAGCAATACTCATTATTCTTAAATTTATATCACGATTATCGTATACCATATATGGACGATGTGTTTTCGTATAACACAACTGCCAGTTTTAATTAAATTGGCCCGGGCCAAAATCTGCACCCACTGACAGTTACAAATTAGGTTTTTTGATTTATAATACGGTCTAGTTTAATTTGGGTACATTCAAAAACAGTAGTTCGGTAAAACGAACAAAAGTAAACTCTTTTCTTTTGGGAACATTCAAAGTGCGCGTTGATATGGTCTCCCCAGGGCATAATATATTAAATTTCTTCGAAAGCTGACACCCGACATCAATAAATAACTTCATCATTAAAGCAAGATCGCCATTCTATCCCTATCCGATGCAAATGTTGCCCTATAAACTTTAATTTCCTGCAGCTTGTGTTCTTACTTGTTGCGTCCACCTCCTTAAGATGCCTGCCAAATATATTTGGGACCCTTTCCGCCTGTGCCATCAAATTGATATGTAAAAGACATTTAATGCAATTTTTGAATGGAACTCGAGAAAAGCGTAATAATTTTACATTTAAGGTAAGAACTGAAGTGTGTTGTTTAGTTGTTTCTTTAAAATCCTTTTAAATTTTGATGTATTTGAAAATTGAAACAGTCTTACAAAACTGTTAGGATTTGAAAAGGTAGTAATAACGGGCAATTTGGTACCATTCGAAGGTAATGTAAAAGATATGTTAATATAAATAACGAAATTTTATTCCTACTTTAGATGTTATTTAGCTTAACAAATTACACATTAGTAGTAAATTAGGAACACTTAGACATTAACAACAATCCGTTAGAGGAAAAATCACAATCCCACCCACTCTAGCACGATTAATAGCCTTTTTAACAATTCCAAATATATTAATACAAATATATCATATATACCTTTCATCACTTTCCGGTCAGAAACAATAATTTGTCACAGTTATGAAACAGTACTCGTTCGCACCGGTACAAACTAACAACAATTAATGGATGTCCCCAAAATTAACGAAAGGTTTCAATTAAAAGAAAACACAGTTTTCAGTGTTTAGATTGTTATTTTTTCACATAATCAAATACGACAGGGTTATTAATATATATTATATAATATAAAGAGCAAATGAACTTAACGGCTTTGCTGGCACATACGCGCTCTTTTGTGGAAATTTTTCGTATCCCTTCGGAAGCGGAGTTGTTGACAGGATCTCTCGCGCAGTAATGAAATTGTTTCCATGCCTCCATATCTTTTTGAAACCACAATTATGGCAGAAAGAACTCACCAACTACCGCTTGATCAGTCTCACCTTAAAAAAGGATGATACAATAATATTTCGAGCCCACATTCTGGGTGCATTTATTCTTCGACAATCAAATCTGCTTCATCGCTTGGGATGATTTAGCTCGAAAAATCAGCAACCAATTGAACTTGTTAATGCTCGATGATAATAATGATAATAATAATACATGAATTGTATTTAGTTGTGCTCGCTGAATTTTGTAAGTAGGGAGACAATCTTTTGTGAGCATACGTTGTAGAGAGCTTTTTCAAATTTGCAATTCTTGTCCGCAACGCTGATTTTGATCATATTCTCTATTTTTGAAGCTACGTTCATCGAACTTTCTTTTTGTTTGAAGTATTGTTAAATAACGAAAACACATTGTTCCATCGTATAACGCTCCATTTTTACTAAACCTAGGCTGCCAGTGCCAAATTGTTCTTTTTCCATGTTGCCAACAATTTACTGTGAGAATTTTGCAATAAACGGGTTTTACAAATCAGGATGTCAATTACGCTCCCTAGTAGTCTTAACTGATAAATAATAAGTCAATATGCATAGAGAAATAACAAACAGGTTTCTACCAAAAAAAAAAATGTGTGCGTAGAAGAATATGGTCAGCTGCGAAATAACTCTTGCCAAAAATGCGGGTTTCTAATCAAAAGTTCTGAGCGTGCTTGAGTTTGGAACCATCAGCGGATAACCGTAAAGTCCGTTGAGTAAATGGGTTGCGTATACTCGACACGCGCGCACTCCCTGCAGATGGCCCACCATGTTCACCCACTGTGACAAAAATTCCCTTTAACCCTTACCGAGGCCATTACGTAAATTGTTAAAGCAGTTAACAACCCCCATCGAGACGCAATCGGAATTTTTTTTAATCAAACCTAAAGATAAATAAATAAACGGCGGAATATTTTTCGATTTATGGAAATTAATTCATTTCCTAAATTGAAGATCTTTGTTGTGATTGTCGCAACGTATATAGGTGGTTGGCAGTGGTCGTTTACGTGAAATGGAATGATGAACGGGGAATGTCAATAGCTAGTCGACTAAATCAACATAAATAACCGTTAGCAAATTAATACTGTGATGTGCGTTCTTGGAATAATACGATTCTACGTCATACCGTAATTGAAGTGGGGCAAAATTTGGAGGTAATAACGAGAGCCATTTGGAGATATGCGAATAACAAAAACTCAATTTCCAGTTATTTTAATGCCATTGTTCAACATTCAATAGAGGAGTATCCCAGGAACTACATTTGTTTATATTTTGCAGTCTTGTCTTGTAAAAACGTAAAATATAAAATGTCCTCAGTCCTCAGTCCTCATCCATCAAGTCCTGAAAGGATACACCTCTAATGTACCATTTTTAAATTTTCTCTAGTAGAGGTTGTACCTTATATGAAGTTCGACTACACAACACGCAATCAGATCCTTTCTAGTTTGAATTGCAGTTTCATTATCAACGATATCTATGGATGAAATTCTAGTGCTCCATTTTATTTAAAATTGCAACCCAGCTAATAATAATCAACCACATAATTGTAAAAACCATTGCAATCAAACTTATATGAAGAAAACTTACATATCTGGCGCTGAGTAATGATATTTAATTTCTTCCTTTAATTTTTTTCGAGCATTTTGAGGTAACATAAATTAACAAACATATGTATATGTATATATATGACTATTTTTTCAATCTTAAGGAGCGAATTAATAATAAAATTAATAGGTAGATATATGATAGATAGATAAATGATAGGAAGTAGATTAGAATCGTATAAAAAAGTAGACCGAGACAGGAATCTTGGGTTGGTTATATTTTCGAAACAAGCCTAGCCAGCGGTAATTTTCTGCAAACAAGTAATTTTTAAACACGATGTCCATATATCTTTTCATTGATAATATGGCTACTGGAAAAGTCACTGGGAATACAAATATCGCACCCCAAGATCTTACCAGATAAAGTCTGTTCATAGATATAAGAAAGTGACTAACCTATACGAATTAAGGAAAGACCCAGGCAAACTGTAAGAATGAAATAAGGCCGAACAGGTCCGTACTTTGCTTAGAAGTTAGTTATTTGGGGTTTTGTTAGGAAATATACTAAACAATATTTATTTATTTATGTATGTATTTATATTTAAATCTAAAACAAAATTACAAATTATTTTGATTACCTACTTAACTAATATATCAGTATCACTATCGCTATCATCGCCTGTTTTAATTATTATTTCTTCTGTTTTATTTGCAATATGGATATACGATTGTTCTGCTTTTTCTATATGTTTAACAGAATTTGCCCAACACAAAATAAGAAAGATTACTAATAAACTTAAACTAAGTATACTACCAAACCAAACAATATTAAACATATAAAATTATTTTTTAGTACGGACCACAATTTGACCTGAATTTAAATTCCGAAATTTTAGGTAATAATCTTGTTGCATTGTATGTTAACGACCACCCTTGGATAATCCCAGTCAAAAGCAATTGGTCACTTTCTTATATCTACGAACAGACCATACCTGGATAAATTAAGAATATCAATAGCTTCAACACTTAACCTTGTGGCACTTTAGAAAATAAAACGATTTGATTGTACGAATTAAAATATAAGTAAAGTCTATAATACGAAGACCATATTTTTGTTTTGCCTACCCATATAGCGTCAAAAATATTTTTATTGAGTAAGTGGTATAGGTATCTACTTAGGTATAGCATAGCATAGTTAGGCGCAAAACCCTGAAACATTTTAGAAATTTGTGAAAGAATACTTAAAACGTCAAAAAAAACTATTTTATGGATTATTTTGTACTTGGGGAATAAAACAAAAATCCTAACTTATATAACTACTAGCTAAAAACCGTTCATTGGTTGCATTATTATAGGCAATGCAAGAGACGAAAACACAATCTACATATTATTACCATCCAATGCAAACGTAAACGTTGATTGATTAGGGTGACAATGGAGACGCATCTGACAATTCTTCTAGGAACCTAATCATTCGCAGCGTTAATTCCCCATTGTATACTAATTGAAAGCCATCAATTGCCACCAGAATTGTAAATTAGACATGGAACTGGAAAAAATATTACCAAATCAGTTGGCGGCATCATCGAATTACCTGAGAATTAAGACACTCTGCCCACCAATCCTCGACAATCACAACACCAAACCCAACCCACGAAGCAATTCCCGCCAATACCGGAGTCCGACGGGCGGTGTTCCTCACGCACGTGTTACCCAGGTAAATTGATACCGTAGAGGGGAAACTCAACTTTATACCTTAACTTTTATTAAGGTATGTTTCAGTTAGGTGTTATCTGCCACGGATTGTAGTGTCGCCGGCTGAAAAATCTGACGTCGTTTTTATCATTCCGATTAATCTTTGGTTCTTTTGTTTTTTCGCAAATCTTTTAAACTGATTTCGTTATCGATATTCGCATATTCTGACCGTATGTTTGAGCGAACAATTTAGTGACGTTTTGGGCGAAGCGCATCGTTTTTGCATTTTAGTGACATGGTGAGAACGTATCGCAGTGCTTGAACCACTTGTTTCGAGCAAGGTGAGTGGAACATTTTCATTTAATCGCTTTTCCTACACTTATTTAGAATATGCTATTCAATTCGGTTGAAATAGTTTTTTTTAATATTCCTCAATCAGAATATAATTTTAATTTAATAAAAATGACTGCTTGATATTTCAAATTGCTTGTACCTTGGATAAAAATGCAATTCTTGGCATTCTTAAACCTTTATGTCTGTATTACAGTGCCAAACCAATTATTTTGTTTGATTGTTTTCTATTGTCCAAACTCAAAACAAAGTTTTAGTAACCTGTCCTTTATTAGTATTGCAAGGTGAAAGTTGATCTTATTTTTGTCTACTCTTGACGTGATTTCTTTGGATAACTCGTGTAGGTGGCACTAATGTTGTTGACTATTCATTGAACTCTACACCTTTGACAATCTGCATACTTCTATGCTGTGTTTTCAGAGAAATCCTTGAAAGTTTCTTATTCGCCATTCTACTGTCCAAATGTATATGCTTAATTTATTTTAGTAGTAGTACTAGTAGTGTTGCCTAAAAGTATTGAAACTAATACAGGAATTTCGTTCTAGTTTCTCTAATTGCAATTAATAAAAATATTATTAGAAATGAAAAGACTGATAGCGTAACTTAACAATAACAAATAAATAGATTCACAATGTACAACCTATAAAATAGGAAAATTAATTCTCATAACTTTTATTGGGAAAAATATTTTTTTATATTCTAGAAAAAATTACAATGATTAATCAAATCAATCAATCAATTGTTTTAAATGAATAACATTTTCCTTCTCACTACCACGCAGACAATTTTTTAAAATTCTCGATAGCTACCAAATTGAATAAAGGATCCTGATTTTTGACACATTATTTTAGCTTTTTAACTATCTGCTACACTATGACCGACAATTTTGTGTATGTTTAAAACATAAACAAATTGTTGGTCAAACTATAGCAGATAGTGAAAAAGCTTAGAATAACAGGTCAATAATCAGACCTTTTATAATTTGTTTTACTCAAGGAACCTAACAATTTCGTATCCTCAGGACGCATTGACGCAATCCAACAAACAAATCTTTTTAAAAATAGAAATTGAGTTGAAAAAAATCACGTTAGAACAAAAAAAACTTAAACCTAAACCTAAATCTAAACCGAAGATGACTGGAGTAAGTACAACCATGGTAATAACGAAATGACATTTTGAGAATAAGCCAAATGTGAGAAAAATTAAATAACACGTTGAATTCGTGGTATGTAGTAGTGGGAACGTGGCGATTTTAAAACAAGGAGCATGTGAAGCTGAAGTACAAAATAAATTGCATGTTAATACCAAGTGTCCTAAATTTTACAATAAATCCTATACTTCCGTAACTTTAAGTAAAATGCGAAAAAACAATTTATTTGAAAGTATCATTGAAACGTGTGCCACCGTGTGTGACAAAAATTATACAATTTAAAAAGCATATGCAAAACCACAAAAACAGTAATGAAATATATAGAGATATCCCAATCCTAACATGTTTTATTTTTTTCTGCACACACAATTTGTGTTTACCCGTTTTGAATATCGAGAAAAACACAAAAAAAAGGGTCGCAAAAACTGCAATAACATATACTTACGCAAATTGACCGTTGGAATTTATGTTGGCTACTGATTCTTAGGTATTGTCTAGTGCCCTTAAAAAATGTACTAATTCGTATCGTACCATAAGGAACCCAGTTTCATCTTCTTATAAACGTCTTCTTATCCCCTTTGTAAATATAATCATAAGAATATAGGTTTAAATGAATAACGCATTATTGTTGTGAGGGAACATTTAAAACAGTTTTGAGAATATTTTTGAATTTTTGTTTTAATATAATTGAGCACGCTTCAACTGAGTGTTTTATGGACCAGTAATTATTCCTCACGTTTCTTCAAATATTTCAGCAGAAAGCATTAGAACATTAATGTTACAACACACGCTCTTGCTATAAAATGAAAATTAACTTAAAATTAACTCACGCAGAATGTCGGCCTATAGCATGGCCATTTATCTCCTTCCAGTGTCAACATAGCGTTCTCTATACACCTATCAGTGCCGTCTGTCAGAACCAGCCCCAGCCTACTATGCACTATGCACTACTTCAAAGTAGCTATAAGTAGATACTTCATTTCCGTATGCATTAAACTTCAAATTGGAACAATTACCAATGGAAATCTACAAAGAAATGATCGTACAAAACCCTTGTATGCTATGATGTGAGCCGATCCTGAACTTACGGGAAAATCATCCCAAGCACACAGCATCACAAACTTGGCTGCACTATTGCCTTACACCATAATGATCATGAAAAATACAAACTTTTCTACAGTACTCTACTTGAACCAATTCCCGGCAGAAAATACAAATATATATACAAAATTGGCTTTATAAAATGATATAAGGACAATGAAAGTACCTCAGTCGACTAGGGAAAAATGTAGAAATGAAAATTTAAATTAAAATTTTTATTGACGCATCTAGCATTTACAATATAGTTTAACCCAAGAAAAATAGTAAACACACATGTCAATCGAGTAATAATACTTAATCCAAACAACACTTACAATTGCTAAACCACCAAGTTTACAAGGCGACGGGTTGATTAAAAACAGTCTTCTTTACTTTACAATTAAAACTGCTGAGAGAGTCAGAAAATAAATCAATACGCTCGTTATTTGAGAGTAAAATATTTGTCAGCTTGCACATTCGATTCAAAGGCGAGTTAACACCATAGTTGGTCCTATGAAAATCAATGTTAAAAAGAGCCTTATTTCTTGCATTAATAGGAGAAATATGAAAACCAACAGATGCCAGAAGATCTGGTGTATCCATCAAGTTATTTTATTATATTTAGTTATTAGTTATCGTAGTTTATTTCCTCAAATGACATTAACAAATTTAAAACCTATCCCTCTAAGGAATTGCATAGTGTGGTTGCCAGACACAGCTAGCATAGGTACTCTAAAATTGAACGCACAAGTGCACAGTACAGCTCCCTATACGTAAAGATGTTTTCAAAACCCTTCAAAGTTTGAAAAACAAACCCAAGCAATCGAATAACTCTGTTAGTCATAAAATCAATGTGATATGCAAATGTGAGCTCCGAATCGAGCCAAACTCCAAGATCTTTAACTAGGTTCCGTCTCTCGAGCGATCCAGAATTCAAATGAAATGGATCTTTGGGTCTACTAAAGCTTACAATGTTGCACTTGTTTGTATTAAGAGTTAAATTGTTCTGTCTACACCACAAAGAAAACCTATCAAGATCCTCCTGTAATCGATGACAGTCAAGAGGTAATGCTACAACCTTAAAGAGCTTTAAATCGTCCGCAAATGCAAGAAATTGGCAAAAGCGAAAAATATTTTTTTAAGTCATTAATGAAAACATTGAAAAAGAATGTGGAAAGATGTCCCCCTTGAGGGACACGAGACGTCGTAACAGTCTCTAACGAAATGTAATTTTTATTCTCGAAGACCCCCAACAGCGAACGCTCATAGCTCAGGAGGTTCGAAACAGTTGACCTTCCCTTGACAAAATCATGCTGTTCGGTTATAATAACGTTTTTAAAATGAGGGGTGACATAATCGGAAACTATATCCTCAAATATTTTCGAAAAAAAGCAGATTTTAAAAACTGGGGCGGTAGTTTTTTATGTTAGCCCTGTTACCATCTTTGAAAATGGGTGTAACACAAGATTTTTTCCAATATGAAGGAAAAACGCCGCAACTTAGTGAAAAAGTAAAAAATTTAAATAAAATTTCGGATAGAACGAATTTACAATTCTGCACCAGTATCACAGGTATACCGTCGGGTCCCGGTCCTACGAATGAATGAAAGGTTCACGAAATAAGCATTCCGAGTCAAGTCCAAAATCATCGGAAACTGACGTGTTGTCCTGTTAATAATGTATATCTACCAAACGTCAGCAATTGTAATAATACATTACATTGATTTAGAACGAGAGGAGGATAGCAGAGAGTGCTTAATAAACGAATGAGTGAAGAGGTAATGCGTAACGTGACTGCGGGAGCTGACGAATATCGAAATTACATAGCTAAAATCTAGCGAAAACATCCCATTGCCAACTAATCAAAACTGGCGTCTTAAAGTGGCACTTTCCACACGTTTGATCTGTGCATAATTAGATATTTTAGAGATACTTTGAGAAACGACGCCAACTGCATCAGTTAAATTCAATTTTAATCGATTCAATTAGTTAGCAGTGTAATCACTATAATCACGATACTTTGCTTTCGACTTAAATTGTGTAAAAAACATTAGAGTTGACAATCAAAACAACTTAATTGCGACAAAAAAAATAGTACAACGAAACTATACGTTGTACCATTCCCATTAGGGAAGGTGCGTCACTGGTTTACCCATCAAAATTTCCACGTGCCGCTACGTCGTTAGAAATCTGAAAAGCAGAAAAACGTTTTAAAGTTTCGCGATAACAAGTAAATTATAGCTTACTTCGATTGCCCGCGGTAATTAGCTATCTGTATATATTTATATTAATCACTTTGTTTAAGCTTAATAGTGTGCGTCGATTGCTCTTTGTTGATGAGCTGACTTTTCAGAAAGGCGCGTCATGAATTGTTTTCTTATCAAAAATATATTTTTCTACTCCCTAACCAAAATAAACAATTATACAGCGAAGGCGCATGCAGAAAGTGTCACGTAAATTTCGTTACTCACGGTTGATTTTAGTTATACGCTGATGGGCACTCTAATAATGGTCTTAAAAAAGTATAGTATGCAAACGTTGATCCACATCCAATAAAAATTAAAATTTCAATTCTCTGAGTTTCATTTAGGGCACAGAAGACAAAATGGTACCCTTAAAGTTATGATCAGGATAAAAAAATATGAACGACACTTTTGATAAACTGAACTTATATTTGTATGTTTCCTATGGGATATCATATTAAACATAATTGAAAATTAACAAACAACAAAATCTGAAAACAACATTTAGTCCATTTTGC